AAAAGAATCGAGCCAGAGCCAATAGAATCCAACCAACAGGGCATTTTTTCAAAATTTTCAACTGTGCAATCAATTGCACTATTGGTCCAATCGATTGCACCTTGCATATTTTGCCTAAATTTTGAAGTTTTCAGCAATGCACGATTCCACAAGGACAAAATTGGCCAAAATCAGCATTTTTCAAATTCTGAAGCATTTGGCACCAATTTTATTATTTGAGAATATTCTAGATCACCCAAAAATAATTCCCCTACCTCATTGCAATTAATTCTCACCATACATCTTCACTAATCACCACTTGATCTTGAATTTCCCTCCAAATTCAAATTCCAAGCCTAATTTTGTTTCCAAACCAAATGCCAATCCACCAAAATTTTCAAGCCTAAATCCTATAAACAGAGGCCTCATTTCATTCATTTCACAAGCTTTTGATAGCCAAAATTACCTTGTCAAATTCTTTCTTGACTTTCATTTTTCTCCAATTACCAAATTCACCAAAGCTCTTTCTCCCTTTGAAAGATTAGTAAGTTCATCACTAGAATTTACTAATCTTTAGCTAAACCTTCATCCATTCACTCTTTCATCCTCAATTCTTGTAGATCAAAGCATTGAAGTGGTGTTTGTGGAGTTTGATTTGAAGAATTTCATATTTGAATTGGTAAACCCTTTTTCAACCATTATTATGCTTGATCTATCTTCCACAATGTGATCTATTGTTGATTCTTGTTGCTTGATCTTTGGATCTTGCAATTTGTGTCTCATTGGTGCTATTTGTTGTTATTTCACTGGAATTTTTGTGCTCAATTGCATTTTCGATCAAGAGATGTTTGAAGAAATGTTTGAGCAAGGTTTTGCCTTGTAAATGTTCTTTTTGCTATTGTCTGCCAGTGTGCAATCGATTGTTGTATCAATGCAATCGATTGCACAATGCTATTTTTTGCCTAGAATGCTGATTTTTGTTGTGCAATAGATTGTTGTATTAGTGCAATCGATTGCACCTGTACAGAATGTGTTTTTTGGCTCTGTATTGGGACTGTTTTGGTTCTCACTTCTTCTTCTTTCATTTCCTTTTGGTTTTAGCCTTGAAATACACTTTTAAAGGTCACATTCCTCTTTAAATTCATTGGACTTAGGGTGTAGATGAAGTTGGATAAACATTCATCAATTCAAATCTATCTTTAAAGTGAATTGTTCAATTCATTTTGGGTGCTTTGAATTAATGATATGTTTAGTGCTTTAATCCACCAAGATGAGTGGATGAACTTAAAGATGGAATGATCTTGAACTCGTAATTCAATTTGGAATTCCCTCTCCTCTTCTATTTTTCTTTTGATCGATGAAAATCTTCGATATCATTTGAACTTATTTCAAAGTTCTTGATGAAGATGAGATTGTTACCTCTTTTCTTTTTGCGCGGTATCGCTTTCGGGGAGTGATCTACATATCACTTCTCTAGCATGCATTAGCACTAACATTGTATTGACCGACCTCAGATAGTCGTGGTTTCTACATAAATCCGATTACGATTGCTTAACATAGTGCTACATTGTCCCGTAATCGGAAAATGGTCATTCGTGGCTCAAACTTATGTTTGAAAGTCCAAGTATGGTTGATTATTTGTCTTATGTCCATCATCTATAAAGCTTGTTGTTAGGAGGCTTTGGTCTTATCAATCCTTTAATGAGTTTTCATTAACCTTGGTCTAAGTGCAAGCATTAACCGTCGTTAATCATTTGCTCTAATAACTAACGACTAACTCACTAACTTTGTTTATGTTCCCCTCTTGCTCCCTATTTCTCTTTTATCTTTATGTTCCATTATCATCATCTCATATCTTGCATTTGTTTATGCTTCCTCCATTTTTCTTTTGTTCATTTGGACCACACTTTGTTCAAAATACTAATAAAGGATCAAACCTCTAAAAACTTGGTGCTCTTAACTTTGTGGCTATGCTCTTGGACTTCTTGGACTACTTTTGGACCTTTAGACTTAGAATTAGGACCCTTTCCCTATGCTTGGAGTACTAATGATCTTTGCCTTTATTTGGCTTGCTTATTCGCTTATGCTTCAAGATGGATGGAATTCTTTTAGCTTACTATGGAGTGTGCTACAAGTTGGTTAGATTTGTTTAACTTTGTTTTTGTTTCCGCCATGATCCCTTAGGATTCCTAGTCCCTCTGTTTAAGATGGGAATAGGAGAGACATTAGGTCTTCGATCCTTTGCATGATAACATTAGGATAGAGTTTCCCTTCTCAATCCCAACTTTAGGATCATATTGCATGATAACATTAGGATTAGTTTCCCCTTAGAGTTTCTGTCTTCTCTTCTCTTCTCATCTCATAACATCTTAAGACACTTAATAAAGGTTAATATTTGTTGTATGCTATTAGCCTTAAGTACTTGAGGAATGATGAATGGGGGGCCTCCTCTCACCTTGTCTAGAGTGTTTAGCGTATGCCCTTTGGGCGATATGCGACGCATTTGCTCTCAAGTCATAGTCTTTAGCGCAACATGAGTTACAAACTTAACTCAACTCACTTCTTCTCATAAAAAACACAAAACAAAACATCAAACCTTTTTATCCTTCGGGATTATTTGAAACTCATTTTCATAAAGAGTGTGTTAAGTCTTGGTTCTACCGCAAACATGCGTCGTCCCTAACTTCTAGAACGAAGGTTTAACCCTACTCAGTTAAAACACTTGAACCAATATATGGTCGTGTCAGCCCGAACTACATTTGCTCCGATTTCTCATACCAGATGAGGATATGTAGGCACAAGACAATGATGTCTTGGCGAGCAACCTTTCCCCCCTTCACCCGTACTTTTCCGAACTGCGTTAACTCTGACTTTTCCATTGCACAAGGGAGTACGTAGGTACAGAGCGGCGATGCTCTATCGAGTCTCTTTTCTTTTCTTTTGTCCTTGTGTGCCAGCCTTTAGATAGTTAACACCCTTTTAGATAGACAACAAGCGTGGATCCCGTTGAGTACAACGGACGTGAGGGGTGTTCATACCTTCCCCTTGCGTAACTGACTTCCGAACCCAAGATTTGGTTGCGATGACCTTGTCTTTTCCCTTTTTCATAGGTTTTCTCTAATCATTTCCTTTCCCTCTCTTTGGGATAAATAACAAATGATGGCGACTCTTTTGTCTTTGTCGGCCCCCTTTTCTTAGCGATGCGACACCTAAGGGTGCTCCTAGAAGATAAACCATAATCAAAGAAATACGAATGCATACATCGGAATGGGAGAGGGGTACATGTAAGTTACACGTGATTGCACAAAATAAAAGGGTTCATTGTCAGGTAGCCCAAGAGGAAGCCGTGTATGTGCGAAATAGCCTAAACTAAGCCTTGAGAAAAAGTCGGACAAAACTCCAAGCTAGGGTCTCTGACAAAGTCCAATTATCCAACAGTCCACCAATTTAGGATTTTATTGTTTCGATAATTTATTAAGTATTTTCGGATATGTGTGAATAAGAGACAAACAACATGAATATGATATGAACGGTTATGAATAATATGAATAGTGTGAACAATATAGCAAGATATATAACAATATAATCAAGATAATATCCATAATAATATGAACAATATAATATTAACAAATATATGAACAAGATGATATAATCGAGATATAATGACTGAATTTAAATCAAGAGTATATTTGACTGAAAATAAAATAATAATATATTGACGGAAAGTAAAGTTAGTCGTTAGTTGATTTATGAATTGAATCGGGACGAAATGTAGCGTTAAACCGTCGTAGCTCGACTTGTGATGAAAATCGAACTATAGGAGGTCGCACAAATTGATATCCATGCTAAAAACTAGATAGATAAATGATATTGAGGATCATTCTCCGATTTAATCGTGTCACACAGACCAAAAACAAATGATCTCATCTTAATCATAAACTCGTGTCGATTAATCGAAGGTAGCCTATCACGATCCCAAAGTATAGAAAATGACCCCAATGGTCATTTTCCATAGATTTGACATAATGAAGGTTATCGAATTCGATAAATTGACGTTTACAAATCTAAAGACTTCATCGATCAAAAATAAAATGAAACAAAGTGAAACAATAAGATAAATAAATGGATCAAAGTGTAGTAAAATTAATTGCGAATACCCAAAAAAAAAAATCTAATGTTGAAAAATTTAAGAACTAATATACTTTTCTCTCTTTTTTTTTTAACAAAAATAAAATGAAATGTCAAAACAAAGAAAAAAGGAAACTCAAAATAGGGGGAATAAACAAACTTGGGTGTGTAGAAATCATACGGGCTTGAAATGAAGCCCATCATTCTACCAACATCCCGGTCCGTAACAATAAAAAAAAGAGCTGAAATTGATGGGTTAGGTTAGGAAAACAGAATGACCTGAAGCAACTTAGAAGATTTTACCCCATATCCCTACCCTTATACCCACACCCCTACACTCAAAAATATTGGAACAAAATACCCTTATTTAAATATCTATAATTTTAACATTTTTTTCATTTTCAATTCATTTCCACTTTCCATTTCAAGACTTCCGGAGAGCTCTGAATCCAGTTAAAAACCGGAACTCTTCTACAAACACTTCCGGAACACATTTGATTTGCATTACATACCGGAACTCTAAGAGTAAGTCTTCCGGTTTGTATTTTGTTTTTGTTTCTTCACCGGAACTCTTTCCTGAAGACTTCTGGTTCACAAAATTTTGAGTTTGTTCACCAGAACTCTTTCCTGAAGACTTCCGATTCACAAAAATTTTGAGTTTATTCACCGGAACTCTTTCCTAAAGACTTCCGGTTCACAAAAAATTTCATTTCTTCTTCGGAAGTCTTTCTTGAAGTTTTCCGGTTCATTGTTTTTTTTTTAATTTTTAATTTCTATTTATATTTATTTATTTATTTAATTTTTAATTTTTAATTATTTTTTTTCCAGTGGTGCGCACACGAGGCAGAGATGGTAGGATCCCTCGTGGACTAGGACGGGGCGAGTCATCGAGGATGACTGAAGAAGAGCATTTTGATGCATCTGCATCAGCATCCGACCCGGTTGGATATCTAGGAGGACCGTATGATACATCTCTGTTAGTTAAATACGAACAACATGTTGCATACTATATATGGTTCGGTGAGGTAAGTAAACAAAAATTATTTAATATTGAATAGAATTCGAATTTTTAATATTGAATTTTATAATATTTTTACTTTTAATTTTTTTAGGAGAGAGGGTCGAAGAAAGAGTTAAAGGTGGCGGGACATGGGTTGAAGTTGACTCAGAAGGTTCCACTACAGCTGCCCAGAAAGATGGAGAGCTGGATATCTAGGTTTGGTCTAGCTTCACTTCAGAGAATCAGTTTAACAAAGATAGACACAAACCTAGTTTCCGCTTTTGCAGAGAGGTGGCATCTAGAGACATCTTCATTTCACATGTCGTTTGGTGAGATGACGATTACTCTAGATGACGTATCTTGCCTGCTTCACTTGCCCATCAGGGGAGTCTTCTGAAACCCTCAAGATATCAGTGAAGCTCTTGCTGTTGAGTGGGCTGTTGATTATTTAGGAGTGTCACAGAGAATAGCACAGCAATAAGTCCATGAGTGCAGGGGTTCCTACTATAAGCTGGAGTGGTTATATGATCGGTTCATAGAGCACAGAGTTGCATCTCGATGGGATTATGCCACTAGAGCTTATTTGCTGATGTTAGTGGGTTCCACTATTTTTGCGGACAAGACTTTTACGCTTGTCGAGGCACGATACCTCTCACTGTTTATAGACTTGGATGGCTTATTAGGATATAGTTGGGCAGCAGCTGCGTTGGTTACTCTTTAAGATATCTCGGAGATGCTTCCATGTTCAGCTCTAAGCAGCTTGGTGGTTATCCGACTCTCCTACAGGTATTTATTTTAATTTAGTATATTTTGTTTTAATTAATTTTATCTAATACATTAATTTTATTTATCTAGTTTATTATGTTATAATTAATTATTTTAAATTTTGTAACAGTGTCGGACTCATGAGTATTTTCCAACACTTGGGAAAAGAGGAGAGAACTGGATACTAGCTAATAATGTGGGTCTCCCACGAGCGATGAGATGGTCCTATAGGCAAGGTGCCTTGAAGGTGGATGACTTGCGGCCTATTCTGGACGAGCTGACACCTGCCGATGTCATATGGCGCCCATTCGAGAATCATAGAGTATGACGTTAGTTTGATGAGTTATGTCTCTATAGGGGGTGTCTGAGGTGGGGTGACACTATTGTTCCATACTTGCCTGACAGATGTTTGCGTCAGTTTGGATACAGGAAGTATGTTCCACATCCACCTCTTGTTTCTCGAATGGCTGGTGATATTGATGTTGACTGGATTAGTTACCATCAGAGCGTTCAGAATATGATTCGTCCGACAGCACCGGCCACCACCCCATGTGGGACAGATGATGGATATCTTGAGTGGTATTATCGTGTTTCACATCCTCGTCTGGTACCGCCCAATGTTGATGCGACAACAGAGATGCCAGTTCCTGTATATGAAGCAGGACCATCTAATCCTATAGTGGCTCGTATGTCTTCATTGATTCATCGTTATCTTCAACAGACTGGTGCTGAAGAGGATGACCCACAGTTTGCTGATTTGTTCGAAGCTTTACATCTTGGTCGATCACAGTGACTTATATTTATATTTATGGTTACATGTTAACCTTTAGACAGATTTGACCTAATTGTTTTATGTTCATGTGTTAACTTTTAGACTAATTTGACCTATTTAGCTTATGTTTATGTGTTAACATAATTCACGATTCATGTTTTGAAATTAAAAACGAGTAACATAATTCACGATTCATGTTTTGCAATTAAAAATGAGTAACATAATTCACGATTCTTGTTTTGAAATTAAAAACGAGTAACATAATTCACGATTCTTGTTTTGAAATTAAAAACGAGTAACATAATTCACGATTCTTGTTTTGAAATTAAAAACGAGTAACATAATTCACGATTCTTGTTTTGAAATTAAAAATGAGTAACATAATTCAATTGTAACTTTAAGTTGTCATTCATAGCCTCCCAACATTTGACCATGTCACCAATACTGTTCCCCAACATTTGCTCTAACTTCCAATGAGCAGACTCAACCCTAAAATTAATACATATTTAAAATATTTTAAAAAAGTTCAAAAAAAATATACAATTTAGAAATACTAAAAATAAATACATACCGATTAGTCGTAGTGTTACCCAAATGTAGCACTCAATTAATCCATGCTCCAACAAATCTTTGTCTATGTGGTGTCAACCATGTGTCCTTCACATAATCAATAAATTCATTACAATCAACACACGCCTGCTCAAGTTGGTTCAACCTTTGATCATGCTCAACCTCATCACTAGCCCATACAACATTTGTCTATAATTCGTCAATTTTCTTTTGCATGTCACTAGCCACATATTGTTTCCGTTTTGCACCAACATTCTTGTTAATATGAAATCGACATAGCATATTGATCGACCTTGGAAACACAATTTCAATGGCTTTCATCAAAGCAAGATCTCTATCTGTCAAAATCACTTGTGGAGACAACTCTTTCTTCACAAACAATTGTTTAAGCTTATCTAGCACCCAACAAAAAAGTCTCAGTTTGCTCAGACTCAATATAGGCAAACGCGACAGCAAAAGTCAACTCGGTTGATGTCATGCCAACAATTTCAAACAGAGGTTGCCTATATTTGTTTGTCTTGTAAGTGTTATCCATAACTAGCACAATAGGAAAAATATTCAACAACTTAACTGAATCTGGATGAGCCCAAAAAATATCTCTAATTACTTCAGAGTCATCTCTTTTTCTACTCCAATAAACATAACCTGTTCCTCAATAAGCTTAAACAAATGTTGTATCTCACTTCTAGGACCTCTTATATTTTTTCTATCATACTCTTCTGTTTGTATATTTGCGTGATCTGAGTGACATTATCTGGATCTTGCTCTTGCAATGAAAGCAATATATGTCTAGGTGGAACCTTTCTCTTTGTCAAATCAACAACATGTTGCTTCTGATCCGCTGTCAACCTACCGACAAATGCGTGACCTTCTAATTTATCAGGTAAATCATGGTTATGAACTCCACATTTTACATCAATCTTCCATCCAGATCCATCATTTACTGGAATTGATCTGATTCTAAATGGACATCCACATTTTTTCGTCGCACTCTGGGTTCCACTATCAATATCTCTGTATTTTCCTCCTTTATCACATCCAAATATTAATTTGTTACTTCTTCCTCTCTTGCCTGTTTTAATATCTGAACGAGTGATGAGTAACTTTATTTCAGATTCCGATCTCTTTAATACATCTTATTACCTCTTCTTGTGTACCAAATCTTTGAGTTGTTGAAAAAACATCAGACATATCTACGCATATCTAATCTTTATCGCATATTTGTAAAGGAATTTCTGAAACCTCTTCTCGTGTACCAAATCTTTGAGTTGTTGAAAAAACATCAGACGTATCTACGCATATCTGATCTTTATCGCGTATTTGTAAAGGAATTTCTGAAATAATTACATAAAAAAAATTGGACAATTCAAACCGGAAGACTTGTAGCAAGTGTTCCGGTAGCCAAAAAAACAAACCGGAAGACTTGTAAAAAGTCTTCTGGTTTGTTTTTTTGTCTACCGGAACTCTTGCTACAAGTCTTCCGGTGAACACCCACGAAAATTACCAAACCAGAAGTCTTTCCTGAAGTCTTCCAGTACAGTATTTTTGTGAACCGGAACTCTTTGTCCAAGTCTTCCGGTTTGAGAAAAAAGGCCTACCAGAAGTCATTTTCAAAGTGTTCTGATAGATCGTGGGATGAATTTCTCAGAAGTCTGAAAAATCTAAAAAGTAAAAAAATATATATATTAAAATATATAAGGATAAAATGAGTATTTTTTAAAAATGCAGGGGTATGGGTATAAGTGCAGGGTATAGGGTAAAATTTCCACCAACTTATTAACACCTTCAGTCAACAAGACCCAACATTATGAATTTGGAGGAGAGAAAACGACATCCACGATGATACAGAGGTACAAGAATGCATCCTGTTTCAAACCAACCTTCTCAATTTCAATCAATCTGCTTCACCCTCTCGCGTCCCCTCGTCTTTTCTCGATTTTCAGGTTTGTGAGACATTGATTTTGTTTTGCTCTTATCCAAACTCTCTTCATCTCAATTCATTTTTGTTTTCTCGGTTCTGGTGCAAGTTCGATTTGGGATTTTGGGTTTAAAGATCTGTGTCTTGTGGCTTACGGGTGGAGGCGGATGGGTGAAGGTTTGAAGATGATTAGGTCATTATATTATGAAGAGTGTTTGTTGGAAAGAATGGGTGTTGGGTTTTGAAGGATTACATTGTGGATTTTGAGTTTATTGAGGAAGATTGAAGATTGTGGGTTTTGAAAGAATGTTTGTTTGAAGATTGAGGAAGATTTTTTAACAAGTGAAGATGAGAAATTAAGCCTTCCCCCGAACCTCTTTTTTCTCCTCCCAGAGTGAAAAAAAAAAAGCAATACTTATAAAGGATCTGGAGGGTGAAATGTGAAGGACGTGAGGAATATTCTGCAGGATATTTTGTGGTGACGTGGTGGAATTTGCTTTTGCGTTGCCGTTATGTTTTTTCATGTTGTGTTGTGACATAATATTATGGTTTTGCAAGAATTGGGTGCGTTGGACGTGCATGACATGTTGTAGGAATTTGTGTGTACGAACGACTTGATTGTGAAGGTTCAAGGCTTCATGATGCTGCATTTTAGTGGGGTTAGTAGGTGATATGGGGTTATGTTGGGTTGTGCTAAATGAATATTGTTTGGTTTACAAAGGTATTAGCTTGATGGCTATGTTTGAACATTTTACAAAACAATTTGTTGTGGGAAAAACTGTTTGTGGCAGTGTTGCGGAATGTTTCGTGAGTTGCAGAATAGTTTGCGGTTTGTTGCGAAAGCTGTAGGTTGTGAATTTTGTGGCTGATGGTTCATGTAATAGTGGTTTGTGAATTGTGGGTGGCTTTAGTTTAACTGTCTAAGCTTCTGAACGAGGTGATCGATGCTTTTTAATTTCTCGTGATTGATCTCTTCGGATCCTGTGCTGTTAAATGAAAGACCATCATCAGGCTTCCATTGATCTTTTATCCTGGTTATCTTTAGATTCTTGATCATTACCAGCTTTTGAATCTTTTGGTGTCTGCGCAAATCACGACAATAATGTTTTGGCTAGTAGTATGCATATTGTTAAAGTTTGTGAACCTTGAGCTTGGCAATTGAGGTATGGAATTCAATCTTGGTAATCATTCTTACGTGTATGGCGTTGGCTCATTCAGCTCGACTTCACGTGCTGTTTCAGAATGTGATGGCTAGGAATGTGTAATATTAACCATCAAATATTGTATATATTTGATCTCTAATTAGTAGTATTTTTTACTTGCTTTTATCTATTAGTATGTGAATTAGTAGATTGATTTGCTTAGTTTCATT